TGTATAAAGTAGAAGATAAAAAGTTATTTCAACTTGATACTGCTACAAGGAGATCCTTCTTCGGGTTGGCCAAGTCCAGAGCCATCAGTGAAGCATTGATCAATAAATTCCAGAACTCAAGTTTGGAAGAGGACAGAATGATATATTTGGTGCTCATAACTCAGAAGAAGGACCAATACTTTTTATCGGACCATCTGGCATCTATATCTGCAGGTCTCACTTTACTACGCAGACAAGGGCTACTTGCATCCTGTTCTTGGAGTGACAGATTCACCCAACCGCTACTTAGGGCTCCATGGGAGGCACCTACTATCTTTGGAGGACAAATAGAGGATGCAGCTAAGGAAGCTACGCACAACTCTAGAGAAGTTATGATGATAAAATCCATAGATACTCTGGCCAACGTCATCCATCATACTTCACAAAAGTATAACAGCAAGTCCAAATATTCCGGCATACAGAAGGCAAAGGAGAAGAAGTACTCAAGCTTCAGAGGCGGAAAAGGATCTTTTCGTCGCCCATCCGGAAATTACAGAGGAAACTTAGGGAGAGAACGCACTCAGAACGATACAGAGAACAACTCAAGGCCACACCTCCGCTAACCCTCAGCTCGATGGCCTTCGACTATGCAGAGGAGCAGGCAGAGAGACTACAAGAATCCATCAACTCACTACTTACGAAGGAGGCGGTAGAGATAATAGATCAGCATCATCTCACTCCAGGACCGCCTCCGTGGTGTAGTAGTTAGAGCGTCCACCCAGAGAGCGGAAGGTCGCTGGTTCGATCCCCGACCGCGTCATACCAAAAGACGTTAAAATATGGTACTTGTTGGTCCCTGCCTGGCGTTCGGCATTAATGGGTACAACAAGGACTGGTCGGCTCGGAGTCAGTATAATGTGTCTGAGTGGGGTATTCATGCTTCACTGCGGCGTGGTATCTCAGTGGGCTAGCACTATAAAACCAGCTTCAGTCTGGGCTAGTACAAGCAGCCGCACATACACATACACACGCATACACGTCGTCATATGAGCGAAATATTCTCAAGCACGACAATAAACCCAATTTCACCTCACCTCACTCCAGGCTTCTACTCCCCAATTTTTCTAGTACCCAAGAAGAACTCCAAGGAGAAGTTCAGACTGATTTACAACATGTGCACATTCAACAAAGACTATCTACTGAAACCAGACAGGTTCAGAATGATCCACCTACCTCAACTCAGACTACTCGTCCGTCCAGCAGATAACATGGCCAGCATAGACCTGCAGGATGCGTATCTACACATCCCCATACATCCGGAATCAAGAAAGTATCTACGATTCCTATGCTGAGGCAGCACTTCCAATGGAACGTCCTACCGTTTGGAACATCTTCGGCTCCGTGGCTATTCACACGAGTAACCAAACATATAGTCGCATATCTACATCATCGAGGTCTACACAATGCCTTGTACTTGGACGACAGCATTCAAGTTCACCAAGATGCCAATCAACTCAGACTACAGCTGAACTTCACGGTCAAGTTGCTCACTCAACTAGGATGGCTGGTGCACCTTATGAAGTCAGAGTTGGAACCAAAACAAGATCTGCAATTTCTGGGGATAAGGTTTATCACAACACAGAATCGTATTGTCGTCCAAGAAGATCGTTGGGTCAAGATACAAGCCATGATTCCACCAGCAGTCATCTCTCCGTTAACACTACGATCATGGCAAGCTCTACTCGGTCTACTAACCTCGGCGCAGGACTTGACTCGCACAGGAAGGTTACAACTAAGACCGCTGCAACAGTTCCTGACAAAACATCTAGACAGCATAGACCCAATCTTGCTGCCAGACAACCTCAAGAGGTATCTACTGTGGTGGACACACAGGTCGAACGTTTGCGGAGGGACCTATTTACAAGAGTCGGCCTTCGACACACATTCTCTATGTAGACGCTTCGATACAAGGCTGGGGTGCGCATCTCAACAATCTAGTTGCATCAGGGAGGTGGTCCAAAATAGAGCAGCATCTTCACATCAATCTGCTGGAGATGAAAGCCGTGATCAACGCCTTACAACTATGGTCAAGCTCGCTGAACAACAAAATGCTGATGATCCACACGGACAACTCTACAGTGGCATTCTCCATAAATCGGCAAGGATCCACAAGGTCTCCAAGCCTGCTACAGCTCATATTCCAGTTGTTCCACATCACGGAGGAAGCAAACACCTGGATAGGCGTGTCACATACCCGGAGCCAAGAACGTACTTGCCGACGCTCTTTCCCGACCACTGCACCCGTCACCTACGGAATGGATGCACCATCCAGAAGCGTTCCTGCTCATCATAAGGGAAATAGGATCGCCTTGCATAGACCTGTTTGCCACGAGGTTCAACAAGCAACTACAGACGTTTGTCGTACCAGTTCCAGATCCTCAAGCCTGGGCAACAGATGCACTGAGCATATCTTGGGAAGGACTAAACGCTTATGTGTTTCCACCCCTGATATTACTACCGGAAGTACTGTTGAAGATCAAACAGACACAGGCGCTACAACTGACCTTTGGGTCGCGCCATACTGGCCAGCGAATGTATGGTTCCTAGACCTAATAGAAGATCTCAGAAGTCCAACAATCAAGTTACCAGATTGGCCGAACCTACTCATACATCCGCACACCAAGCAAGTCCACGGGAACCCACAGCATTCCAGCTACACATGTGGACTATATCAAAACATGTTTGAAGAAAAGAGGAAACTCCGCCTGGGCATCCAAGGCAGTAATGCTAGCGTTACGCAGATCTACTTGTAACCTGTATGATGACAAGTGGCTGAAGTTTGAGACTTATGCAAGGTGGAAAAGTTTCATTGCGATGAAAGCTACTCATCCTCAAGTGGCGGAATACCTGTGTCATCTTAGACAGACCAGACATCTGAAAGGTTTGACATTATCTACATACCTCGCTACCATCAGTACAGTGATTAACATGAAAACAGGCATCAAGTTGACGAAAGAACCAGAATTACTTGCTCTGCTGAGATCTTTTAAACTGGAGGACCAGCAAAAGAAGTTCAGAGCTCCGGCCTGGGATCTGAATGTAATTCTAAGTCATCTTATGAGTGATGCCTACGAACCTCTAGGCCAAACTACCCTTGAGCTGCTGACACAGAAGACTCTGTTCCTGCTTGCGCTAGCCACGGCAGCTCGAATATCAGAGATACATGCTGGACTTTGGTCGAACCAGTTTCGACACGGGGCAACATGCTGCAGTTCATCTAGGACTTAGATGGGACTTCATTGCCAAGAACCAACTACCTGGCCTGCCAGATAGACAGTTCCACGTACCTGCTCTATCTACAATCCTTGGACCATAAAATATAGAGGACTTATCCTTGTGTCCGGTCAGAGCCCTGAAGATTTATCTTCTAAAGACTAAGACAAGGAGATGAAAATTCAAGTGCCTGTTCATCCTGTTATCCTCAGAGACAACAGCAGAAGTCTCAAGAACGACGATATCGTTCTGGATGAGAGCCGTCATATTGAGAGCCTATAAAGCAGCAGGACTATAACCTCCTAGAGCTTCCAGCCCACATGAAGTCAGAGCACTGACGTCAACACTGGCTCTGCATGGAAATTGCTCTATATCTGCAATTATGGAGGGCTGCTTTTGGAAGTCGGACACGGTGTTTGCCAACCACTACCTCCGAGACATAGCCACTGAAGATGTCTCAGGCATTTTGGCCTCTCGTTGTAGCACAGCAACTAACGGATCCTCAAAGGCGCTGAGTTGGAAAATCTCACCCTTTATCACGCTGACTTGTTGATAACTTTTACTAAGGAAAAGTAATAGTTTGAAAGTCCATGCCCACAGTCTAGGACAGGCTAGCATGAGTGATTAAAGATCCTGTACGGGTAAAGATCTTACCTGTACATGAAGGGGTCGCAACTCATTTATGATAAAGATCTTATCATAATCTATGGGTTGTTATAAGATATCTAGTAATAGGAAGATACTAGTTTATCTGTAGCCACATGAATCAACATGATTCAACTTGTCTGAGACTGAAGTAAGACAAGAAAGTGGTCCCCCCAAGTTATAACGGAAGTTGGAAGAATAGGATCACGGAAATGCCGTTTCTCAGTCCCCATGGGGGGGATACAGGACATATCTAAGGACAGCTGATGAATCCATGTAGTGGCTTGACCCACCATTCTATAAGAAAAAGATCATGAGTCAGGATAAGAAAAAATATGTCATTTTTCAAGTAAAATTGATATTTTTATACTTATCCTCACTCATGACGAGAAGCCCTCCCAACCTCCCCACTGGAAACACTTCGGATTTCACAGCAGATCCAAGTGCATGGGCAGAAAATTTAGGAGAGAGTGACGAGTAAGGCTGGTCACATGACTGTTTGCGCGGGAAAGGACAAAAGGGAGGTAACTCATGGGTGAGTGAAACTTCAAAGGGAGGTAACTCAAGTGAGATAAGGTGAGTGATAAGTATATATTTTTGAAAAATTACATACTGTGTAAGTTGTTTGTGGAAACTTCAAAGGTGCATATCTAGCAAACCATATTGCTCTTTCCAATGAAACACAGCCATATTCAATCACAGCTATGGTCTCACATAGGTTTTCTTACACCACCCATCTGGCTTTGTATTGCACTCTCATAGGTTGATAAATCTAAGCAGGTCCTGCAGAAGGATCATGTTCTTCTTCTAAAACATCAGAATCTAAGAACAGTTTGTTTATTGTATAACATTCAGTCATTAACTAATACTATGATACATTTACTCAAGTTATTATTTTATACAGATCCACGCATTATATAGTTAGAATCATAGGCTACATAGATCTGTATTTATGTCACTTTAACTTTGAGAATTACGTTCCATTCATAAACATCATTATGTAACTTGTTGATCATCAGCAATGAATTTGTGTTTAACTATCTTTCCTAGAATAGTATTTCAGAAACATTTGAGTTGACACAAACTACATATTTTATATCTAGGTTCAGAAGATGATGGTGAGCTATGGCTGTTTGGAAAAATGATCACAGCAGCTGACATATCTCTGACTACTTTATTTGCAATAGACTAATGCATTATATAATTTGTGTTGTGAGAGTATGTTTCTTGCAATATTATAACAAATCACAGTGCATAGTTTAATTACCCAGGATGGACCCAAGATGCAATGGAAGTATATTATGTTTTCCTGTTTATTGATAAGGTACCAAAAAACACGTCAAAATCAATATGTGTGCACTGTTCAAAGTTATATGGATTTATTAAGTCACAATAAGCTGCAATTTTTAAAAGAGGGCATTTTTATTTTGAACACTGCATCTGTCTCATAAAGCCACATCAGGGAGTTACAGTCAGGGACTTGTGTACAGAGTTAAGAATAGATCATAGTTTGTGGTCGATGTTACATCTCCGTATTAACCTATATAGAATACCAGTATTATGTCAGACTTGATACTAGTAATTGTGTCAGACTTGATACCAGTGCATGGACATGGAGAGCCACCAAAGAATACAGACAACTTCAATCTTGATTCAGAATTTCTCTTTAAACCCAATTAATGGAATACTACATTATCAAGACCAGTACTACATTGTTAAACAATATTTAGCTGATGTATTTATGAAATGGTTGACTATGTTAGTTTGTTACAGTCATCACATGTCTGAAGTCCTAGTATTTTAGTGTTGTGATGTTGTGTCCCACTATCAAGTTGATGATATGTTCTGTCACCAAGTACTGATGCTGTAGATCATGATCTGCTTCTATCTCTCTTGTCACTTCATTGTGAGGCAGTCGGTGCTCGCTGTAGATCTTGATCTGCTTCTGTCTCTGTTGTCAGTATGAGGCAGTCGGTGCCCACTGTAGATCTTGATCTGCTTCTGTCTGTTGTCAGTATGAGGCAGTCGGTGCCCGCTGTAGATCTTGATCTGCTTCTGTCTCAGTTGTCAGTATGAGGCAGTCGGTGCCCACTGTAGATCTTGATCTGCTTCTGTCTGTTGTCAGTATGAGGCAGTCGGTGCCCACTGTAGATCATGATCTGCTTCTGTCTCTGTTGTCAGTGTGAGGCAGTCGGTGCCCACTGTAGATCTTGATCTGCTTCTGTCTGTTGTCAGTATGAGGCAGTCGGTGCCCACTGTAGATCTTGATCTGCTTCTGTCTGTTGTCAGTATGAGGCAGTCGGTGCCCTCTGTAGATCTTGATCTGCTTCTGTCTGTTGTCAGTATGAGGCAGTCGGTGCCCACTGTAGATCTTGATCTGCTTCTGTCTGTTGTCAGCGTGAGGCAGTCGGTGCCCACTGTAGATCTTGATCTGCTTCTGTCTCTGTTGTCAGTGTGGGGCAGTCGGTGCCCACTGTAGATCTTGATCTGCTTCTGTCTGTTGTCAGTATGGGGCAGTCGGTGCCCACTGTAGATCTTGATCTGCTTCTGTCTGTTGTCAGTATGAGGCAGTCGGTGCCCACTGTAGGTCTTGATCTGCTTCTGTCTGTTGTCAGTATGAGGCAGTCGGTGCCCACTGTAGATCTTGATCTGCTTCTGTCTGTTGTCAGTATGAGGCAGTCGGTGCCCACTGTAGATCTTGATCTGCTTCTGTCTCCGTTGTCAGTATGAGGCAGTCTGTTCCCACTGTAGATCATGATCTGCTTCTGTCTGTTGTCAGTATGAGGCAGTCGGTGCCCACTGTAGATCATGATCTGCTTCTGCCTGTTGTCAGTGTGAGGCAGTCGGTGCCCACTGTAGATCATGATCTGCTTCTGTCTCTGTTGTCAGTGTGAGGCAGTCGGTGCCCACTGTAGGTCTTGATCTGCTTCTGTCTCCGTTGTCAGTATGAGGCAGTCGGTGCCCACTGTAGATCTTGATCTGCTTCTGTCTGTTGTCAGTATGAGGCAGTCTGTTCCCACTGTAGATCTTGATCTGCTTCTGTCTGTTGCCAGTATGAGGCAGTCGGTTCCCACTGTAGATCTTGATCTGCTTCTGTCTCCGCTGTCAGTATGAGGCAGTCGGTGCCCACTGTAGATCATGATCTGCTTCTGCCTGTTGTCAGTATGAGGCAGTCTGTTCCCACTGTAGATCATGATCTGCTTCTGTCTGTTGTCAGTATGAGGCAGTCGGTGCCCACTGTAGATCATGATCTGCTTCTGCCTGTTGTCAGTGTGAGGCAGTCGGTGCCCACTGTAGATCATGATCTGCTTCTGTCTCTGTTGTCAGTGTGAGGCAGTCGGTGCCCACTGTAGATCTTGATCTGCTTCTGTCTCTGTTGTCAGTATGAGGCAGTCGGTGCCCACTGTAGATCATGATCTGCTTCTGTCTGTTGTCAGTATGAGGCAGTCAGTGCCCACTGTAGATCTTGATCTGCTTCTGTCTGTTGTCAGTATGAGGCAGTCGGTGCCCACTGTAGATCTTGATCTGCTTCTGTCTCTGTTGTCAGTGTGAGGCAGTCGGTGCCCACTGTAGATCTTGATCTGCTTCTGTCTGTTGTCAGTGTGAGGCAGTCGGTGCCCACTGTAGATCTTGATCTGCTTCTGTCTCTGTTGTCAGTATGAGGCAGTCGGTGCCCACTGTAGATCTTGATCTGCTTCTGTCTGTTGTCAGTGTGAGGCAGTCAGTGCCCACTGTAGATCTTGATCTGCTTCCGTCTCTGTTGTCAGTGTGAGGCAGTCGGTGCCCACTGTAGATCTTGATCTGCTTCTGTCTCTGTTGTCAGTATGAGGCAGTTGGTGCCCACTGTAGATCTTGATCTGCTTCTGTCTGTTGTCAGTATGAGGCAGTCGGTGCCCACTGTAGATCTTGATCTGCTTCTGTCTCTGTTGTCAGTGTGAGGCAGTTGGTGCCCACTGTAGATCTTGATCTGCTTCTATCTCTCTTGTCACCTCAGCATCAGCAGTTGGTGGATCATGATCTGCCTCTGTCTGTGTAGATATATGCTAGGATAATTTCGGTATACTTAAGCATTTATGGGTCTTTTTACTCTACAGATTGTTTCTTCTTTCATTTTGTACAGATTAAACTCTTGTAATCGTGTATGATACATATAAGGTTCTCTATTTCTAATTAAATGGATGTACTCATATATTGCATCCCAAAAGCTTCACAAGGTTTTTGCATGCTCTGTTTCCTCAGTTTTCCTCAGTTTTCCTGTCTAATTTATCTCCATTCTGTGATGATAAATACAATCCCCTTTCTACCAAAGGTTTGTTTGAGCCTAATTCAGATGTCATGGTGCTAAGACATTCAACCAATTCAAGCAGATTACCCTCACTAGCAACTGGAAATATGATAGAGAGTGGAGGGAATGAGGTGGTGACATCAACTTCTAAACGCAGCTGTGTAAGTGGCCAGGTCCAGGATATTTGTCATAATAAGGTATAATGTGCATGATAACAAAGATTGTTTTGTTGGTTGTTGTTTCTCTTAATTAGACCCAGCTCTTGTAGTTTATGTCAATAGGACAAAAGTCCACATGATTCATGTAAACATGAATATGTCCACTAAAACTATTTTAAAACTTGTTTATGAAGCATGCATGTTTCAAGAAAGAATCTCACTTCTACGCATACTCAGACATGTTCTCAGTTTGAAACATGACCTCTATATTGAAGATGTTAGTTTGGGCCATGAATCACTTTGATGCCTTCACATGTAATGTTTCTTAATGACCTTGTCACGTTATTGTTTGTACATGCAGCTCAATCGGAGACAGTGTCACAAATTTCTTTCTTGTACCAGTGAGCCACAGACAGTTGAATATGTTTTCAGCAAGCATTCAGGTAAAGAGCAGTTCTTGTATGTCGCACAAATGATGTCTCCACTGTATAATGGTGTATGTGAAGATTGTAACTGTTACACACTTCATGTAACAATGCAACCATTGTACAGCAAATGGCTACTGTATGAGTTAATCTGTATGCACAAACCTGTATCAAGGCAACTGTGACAGTGAAGTTGAAGATGTGTACTATTTCCAAGCTTATTATGTATATCATGTTAAATCTGCACTAGACTGAAGGTCAAGGTCATCAGATCATAAGTGTATGTTTGTGTTGTGAAGTAACTGGAGGCATGGGTTTTGTTTTGAAGTTGGACTACATTTGGTGTGTGTTTTCTTAAACCAGATGTAGTATCAGCAATTCGGAAATTAACTCATTAAGGCCGAGAGACGCATATATGGGGCAAAATAATCAGCTCCTCACAGCAAGTGACGTGTTTATGGGGTAGGTAATTAGCAGTTTCTCATAGCGAGAGCCACATACAGTCGTCAACAGAAAGCACCTCATATTCAGCAAGAGACGCAAATGTGTGTCATACTTTTAAAAATCGCACTGTACCTATTATTTCAACCAATTTAGTAGTACTGAGCAAATATTAGCTTTTCTTGCAAGAGATGCTGCCTTTAGTGTCAATCAGAAGAAGTATTTAAAGTGTTTTGATAACAATTGCTAATCATTATCATAGGCTTATACAGCGTTTGGCAAATGAACACATGTCGGCGAGGAAGGGGATTATGATGTTTTTACAGAGGTAAGTGTCTGGTTCTCTTCATTGGGAATGGATACTAAAATACTTTGTATGCACATTGATTGAATTAGATGTAATGGTTTAGAGGTTACTGAAGATTATTTCTTCAACTACCTAATAAATAGGAAACAATATACGAAATTTCAAGAACATACAAAGAATTCAAACACAATAGAATGTGTCATAGTCCTAACTGCCAGTTCACCTGATGAAGGAACCTGGAATGGTCTCGAAACGTCGTGAGAGAAATTAAAAAAAAAAAGAAATTTAATCCTTAAAAATATCTTGGACACAATAGAATAGTTTTGAATTTACTTTTTAGGTATGATTACGTTGTCATGTTTCATATAATGAAACATTATGTATAAACACAAATAATTATACATCCAAGCTCGAATAGATTAGGCATAATTTAACTTACTAATTTGAAGCTTACTCAATTGTAACTAGTTATTTTCCATAATCTAAAGTTGATAATGTTACCTTATCGAATATATAGTGATAAGTCGCGCCTTTGCATCGAATATATATGTCAGTGTTATTACAACAATGAAATCT